TATATATATATATATATTTCCTCTAATCATAGCAAGTGCAATGATAAAGCAAATGGAATGCAATTTGAGCACACATAAAGTAAAATACTCTTCAGCAGGTTAAATTAGTAACACACAGCAATGTTTTAATCCTTGCTAAAAAGGAATTGCACTTCTTTTTAATGCCTTCTCTTTCAAACTATACATAATGTACCTATGAGGTAATAAACATTCTGCATTTTTTCATATGTTTAAGTAGGACAAAATTCAATTTAATTTTATATTTACTTACTGTTAAAAACAATATATTTAAAATATACTCTCTCATTAATTTCATGTACAACTATCATGTGTAATACTTCAAACATTTCCCTGCAAAGGAGCAGCTGATGCCCTCTGGTGGTGAAATAAATTTTAGACCCAAAAAGGACCATTTTCTTACCTTACTCTCAGGTTTTGTCAATCATCTGCTTGGTGTATGAAAGCTGCAAATCATGTCCAAGATTTTTTTTTTTTTATAAATAACAATTCTATATCTGTTATTACTAATTTTCATTTAAAAATGCTGTACACATTTTATAACCTCTGACTTTGAATTTAAAAACCCATAAACATCTATTTACAATATACTACAAGTTATAAATTAGTTGTCCTTCATTGGATCTGCATCAACACACTCTTGTTTGGGTGATGAAGGCTATCCAAAGTCAGTTGAGGCATCTCTATGCAGAAATCCACAATAAAATATCAAATGTTAGAAATATCCATTGGTTTCCTCTCTCTTATATGCAAGTCAATTTTTCCTTTTAGCGGGATTTGCACTTCCAAATTTTCATCTTCCCTGTGATGTTTTTTCCCTTTTCGTAAGCAGATGTATATGCCCATCCCTGTTACTAGTGTGATGGAACCCAAGCTTATTACGGACAGCACTACTAATGTGGGCATACAGGACACAGATTCTACTTTTCTATGTGTTGGTTCTATGGAGATTTGTGGTTCTTTCTCCTCTATATTAATTTCTGGTTCTTTTTTTAGAAGACTCTCAATGTAGCTCTCATTACTGACCGTATCATTGACAAACAGGTTCACCATGACTGTGGAGTGGAGGGGTTCGGGATAACCATGGTCACTCACTTTCACCAGCAAGCGATGAAGTCCGTAATCTGTCTGCAGCAATGCCTCTTCCAAAGTAATGTTGCCAGTTTTAGGGTCAATCCTAAAGGATTCGGGCCTGGGGCCTCTTCTTCCTATGATGCTGTAAGCTATTACAGCATTCATGCCTGTGTCTTTATCAACAGCATAAACCTCTGTGACTGGGGAGCCAGGGAGAGTAGAAGGCAGTACTAATAGGTAAGACATATTAGACTGAGGAAATAAGACAAGAGGAGGGTTGTCATTGATATCAAGAAGAAGAATTGTGATTTTTGTGGAAGAGGAGAGGGCAGGCTCACCCCCATCAACTGCTTCAACCCACAAAGTATAGGAGCTTTGCTGCTCCCTGTCTAAAGAGACTTTAGCTCTCAACATGCCCTTTCCTGTATCTATGACAAAAATGTCACTCTGGTTCACCACCGAGAGAGCAACCCATCCATTTTGGCCAGCATCAGCATCTGTCACACTAATTACACCAATTTCTCCATATCCTGGGAAGTTTTCTGGCACAAAAAAGCTGAAGTCCTTGTTGATAAACCTAGGACTGTTGTCATTTTTATCCAACACTGTGAGAGCCACAGTGGCTACTGATTCTCTGGGCGGTTTTCCACAGTCAACAGCTTTCACTGTGTACCTATACTTTTCTTTCTCTTCTCGGTCCAGCTGAGTAGAAACTGTCAGAATTCCTGTGACACTGTCTAAGGAAAAATATGAAGGCGCATCAGGTCCCAGGAAATATGAAACCTGGCCCCTCTCTCCACTGTCAGCATCTGTAGCATACAGCTTAGTCAAAAAGGCATTGGGTGCATTGTTTTCTTCAATGGTTAACTCTATCAAGGGCTGAAGGAAAACAGGAGCATTATCATTGTCATCTAGAAGTTGCACTTTAATGATTCTTTTGACATGAAATCCTTCTGAGTTCCAGGCTACCACAGCTACTTCATAGAACTGCTGTAGCTCGTAGTCCATCGGTTTTGTGGTCTCTAGCAGATATTCGTTGTTGTATGGTTTGTAGGGTGATAACCTAAATGGACCTTCACCATCCAGGTAGCAGTTAACCTTGTATTTTCCTTCTGGATCTCTTATGGTAAAGAATGCAATTGGAGTGTTAACAGGTTCCAGTTCTTTCAGATAAACAACACCATCTATCTCATTTGCTATATAACGTGGGACTATTTCAGGAGGCCTGAAAATGACTTTGATAATGGACACCAGAGCAGTAATCACAGCAGGGATGCAGCCTGGTCCATTAGCAAGGATAGTGAGCTTGTGTGTTTGTAGAACATTTCCTCCAATTTTATTGAAGAGTTTAATGGCTCCAGTAGTTTCATCCAGGTGGAATAAATCCTTGGATGCTTGCGGAACTTTCTGGCTGTAAGTGTAGGTGATTAGAGCATTGGTTCCCACGTCTCTATCCACAGCTCGGACAGCTGCAATTGGAGTGCCCACGGTAGCATTTCCATACACAGTCACATTGATCTGTGAGTCTATGAAAAGAGGACAATTGTCATTAATGTCACTTATGCCAATGGTGAGGGTGGCACTGCCCGACAGTGGAGGAGACCCACCATCCTCTGCTATGATGATGCTGACATACTGGTCTTGTGTTTCCCTGTCCAATGCACCCATGACAATTAGGTAGGGGGTGCGCTCTCCGTTCTCATTCTCCTCCACATCCAAGGTGAACATGCCATGGTAGTCCAGTAAGCGATATGTCTGCACCCCATTAGTGCCTATATCAGGGTCCACAGCAGGGTGTTCTATGGCCATTCTGGTATTCACAGGTGCATTTTCTGGGACCCAGACTGAGATTTGGGAAACAGGGAACTGTGGAGCATTGTCATTGATGTCCCTGATGGCAATTTTTACCTTCACAAACCTAAAATACTCCTGAGGCAGGACCAGAACATCCAGAAGCAAAAGGCAAGAGTCCGAGGAAGGAGAGGAGGAAATAGAAATGCTGCTGCTCCAAGCAGCCCCTCCACCCCCTTCAAGACACAGGGCCTCTCGGTCGATCTCCCGTGTAGAAGTGTGCAGCTCTCCAGAACGGTTGTCTAGGGTCACGTACTGACCACTCAGTCTCCCAGAAGCCAGGCTGAAAGACAGAGGGGGGTTCCATTCAGCTCCAGCACGCTCTGGGGACTGCGCCTGCTGGTTCTGTCTCCCCGCGGTTCGAGGCGTTAGCCTCAGGTCCTCGGCCAGGCTGCCGATTAGCACCCCCGCGGGAAGTCCCTCGTTGAGGCTGTACAGAAGCTCGGTGGCCCGGCTGTAACTCGCGAGGCAGTGGAAGGGTCCCACGAAGAGGACAAACAGAAGCACATGCTGGAGGGAGGGGAGAAGGTGCATTACACACAAGCGGAAATAAATGCGTGACCCCCCCCACATCCCTGTCGGTGCTTCCCTCACTCCTATTTCCAGGAGCAAAACCTCTAGTCAGAAGCGGGTGAAGGACATTTACTTCGAGAGGAGTGTGGAGCAGCGCTGTCTCCAGAACTTTTAAATTTTTTTCCGTTCATTTTCTATCCCCATCCCCCAAGTTCCCATCACAACCCTCATCCAGCTAAGATTTGGAAGCCAAACCATAAAGTATCCCTGAAAACTCGCGCCAGAGTGGAGGAGACTCCAATTCCGGACTGCGCAACGCGACACGGTAACCACCATAGCTAGAGAGGAGGGAGGGGGCAGATAGCTCAGAGCACGGAGAGGGGGCGACTTATTTTCTCTTTGGAAGAATTCAGTCGTTAGAGTCCTAGAATACTAAACGTGTAACGTTCCTTTCCACGAGTTCAACGAAAGCAACAATAGCGATGATAATAACAATAACAAGAAGAATGAAAACAAAACAACATTCCCCACCAGCTAGCCCCCCTTCCTCAACGCTTTAGGTCGGAAAAGTGAATTTTCGTTTTACCACACGAGAAGTGAAATATAAACGATCTAGATCTCCACCTCCTACCCAGCTCTCACACATCCCCGTCCCTTGGGGGGAAGCGAATTAGAAGCGGAATAATGATTATGCAAAACAATTTGTCAACTGCAGCAGACGGTCAGAGCCAGACGCCGGCAACAGGAAACAATCTCCAAATCCCGGTGTCTACAAAGGGTTCAGGACACCCTTGCCTTCCTCCACCTCATTTGACTGTATTTCTTCTTCAGAAACTTCCACTCACGACCCAAGGACCTGGCTATTCCTTGCTAAAATGTACGCACATTTTCCCAAACTCTCTCTCCCTCTACCTTTTCCATGAAGTTGGATTAAGGCAAAAGGTTTGAAAAACGAGCCAAGAGTAGGAGCGGCTTCATAGTACTACAACTTGTCTCGGTCGAGGGTCTCCTGGTTCCTTACCGGCAGGTTCTTGTGGCTGGTGCTGCTCCTGGCACGACGTAGACTCCCCATATCCAGGCGCAGGTGCCAGATCGCCGGACGCCAGCTCACTGCCAGGGCCGGCGAGCTGCGCGCATTCCCTCGGCCGCGCATTCCCAGGGCGGCTGCAGTCAGCGCGCTCCTGAAGGGAGGGCGCCAGAAAACACTCCCTCTCCGTTCATGCAAATCGCAGGGGAACTTCAGCCAATAGTCACTGCCTTGTCAATAAGGGCCGGAATCAAGGGGGAGGGGTAGAAAGGCGTGGGGGCCAAAGGGCAGGTTTACAGTTTCCAACCTTTACGAGGAGGACGTCCAGACCCCTCCAAGATGAGCCAGAATGTGGGACTTGCGTCTGAAGACTGCGAAGAGGTGCCACCGGATCGGGCACCGGAGTGCGTGCCTACCAGCTTCCCTCCTCGATGCGCCACTCAGATCCCAAGTCCACAGGTTGCTAGCAGGAGAACAGAGAGAATTAAAATAAATAAGTTAGCCCGTGTGTGTGTGTGTGTGTGTGTGTGTGTGTGTGTGTGAGAGAGAGAGAGAGACAGAGAGGGAGAGACAGAGAGAGAGAGAGAGAGAGAGAGAGAGAGATGCCGGGGGGGGGGTGTTACAGCAACACAGGTGAGGTCCCCTAAAACCTTGCTTTGCCGCGAGCCAATTCCTCCCAGAGACTGGGATCCTGCAGCGTTTTCACAGAAAGAAAAGGCACTTTTCTCAGAGGAGAGGCGTCGCAACTTCTTCCAAAGGAGAATTGAGCCGGTAAAAGCAAATATATGAATTCAGTGAAGGTTTTCACAAGCTTCAGTTTTGAACCTTCCTTGTTGCTGGTGCCAGAGCTTCTGCTAGTTTCCTAGTTTTAGGCACACATGTATCTGGGTGTCCTCTGCCTTTTGGTCTTATTTTACAGGATCCAGATCCTCTGAATGAAAAAAAAAAGATTGGGGGGGTCTGTGGGGGGGCACTGTTGTAATCCAAGTGTTTCTGCCTGCAAGCAACATTTTTCTGTAATGGGAATATTTAAGGAACCGAGGGCAATAACTGAAGCTTAGGTTTAAAAATGGTCACTTCTCAAATGATTACCCCACTCCCCATACCTCTGAATGCCTATTGGGAAAGTGACTCTTTTGAAAGAAATCCTTGAAGAGTGTGATGCAAGAATTCTCTAATCCTAAATAGCTATGTGACACCGAAATCACCTAACCCCTGGGCTTGCTTGCTCACTTATGAAATCGTAGCTGGCAGGACACCCAATGCATTTTTGATCTGCAGGAGGCCATGCACCATGTAGGTAATGAAGAAAATCATTCAACCTTTCCCTGAACAGACAATTCTCTTCATTACTAGTCTTTCAGATCCACCCTTCACTGCCCTACACATGAAACATTGCCTGCTGAATAACTAGAGACTGAGTCTAGAATAGGAAAAGGTCTTCCTCTTGGGTTAAGAAAAATTCCAGTTCTCTGTGCTGTCCAAATGGAATATTTTAATACTATACCATAGGATGACTAGAATATAAATTAGGTGAAATAATTATTTTGTTTCTAGCCCTTCCTATTTTCTTCACACTTCCACTAATCCACTAGATGCAGAGTCCTAAATATTGACAACACAATACATTAGAATACCCAGAAACAACTTGTTAATAAACAAGGGTTGGCACGTATGAAATTGACACACAAAATACTATAATACAAACCTGATATATGATATGAGCCTGGCTCATAAAATAAACTATTTCAAGCTCTTTGCAGTGGAAATGAAATGCTGAAAGTGTGGTAACTCACATAAATACATACATGGACATGCACATCTGCGCTTAAGGCCAATATGTAGGTGGTAATAAAACCACAGGAAGGCATGATTTTTCCTCCTTCCTTTTAATTCTTCAGCTCCCAGTTCTGCCTTACCACTGAACTTTTACCATTATTAGTAAATATTTACACTGAAGTCTGTAGTCGAAACATATGTGACTCCAAAAATCAGTAACAAACTGCTTCTAAAGTGCATTTAGTTTGTCTTCAGGCAATGCCATAGCTTCTAGAAATAAGGGGCTCATGGGCAGAATTAAGCGATTGATAATCTGAAATAGTTCTTCCACAATCTGAAGTAATTATGCATCTAAATAGATAGCAGATATACTGGGCTGTATATGCCCACCTCACTCATGCCTTTTCCAATGTTATGGTCACCCACTCCTTTTGTGTGTGTGTGTGTGTGTGTGTGAAGAGGTAAGGAACTTTTTTTTCCTTTTTCTTTGTCTTTATAAGGATGTCACACCAGAATTATTGTTTATGAAGACAGAAGACAGTCTGACTAGTGTAACATTCTCCCTTTGTAATTAAATTCTCAGCTATTATTTTTCTGGACACTTAACAGCTCTTTTTTTCCACTGAAGAGTGGATATCTTTAGTACGGATAAATTTTGTTAAAGTGTCTCTCCCACCCTATAAGAGCAGAGTCTTATGTTTTGACCATATCAACCTTTTGTTCCCTATGGGAAGGGTTACTACTGCTCTTCCCCTTTGCTAAGTTGAAAAGAAATATATCCCTTCAACCATAATTTTTTTAGATTGTTTCTAAAAATGTATGAATATATGAACTATAGAAAAGCTATTCATGTACATTGAAATAGAGAAACTGAGCACATTGTGAAAATAATATTTGGAATGACAATAACCACCTTTGTTTTATGTTACTATGCTGCTTGCAAAGACCCTGAATGGAAGTTTGTCATCAAGACTGGAAGATCTTGGCACAATGCTAGGCAGTCTTACATCCCACACATCAAACTGTTAACTGAACTTATTTTCCTCTTCAAAGATCTGAGCAGAGGTTTCATGAAGCTTTATGCTTCTTAATTGGCCTTAAAGAATTCTAAAAAGACCTAGATTCTTTTTATCTATAATCTTCCTGGGATTGTGAAAGCTTTCCCAAATTCCCATTCTTTAGGATGCCAGCCAGCCGTCTGGTGACCCATGCTTCTTTCTGAAGACGAATTAGAGAGCCTGTATGCTTGTATGCTGGTGGTTCCTTGAAAATAATACTTGTGGACTTCTCAGATGTCTCCATTGCTTTGGGCCTGCTTCACAGGTGTTTTGTAAAAATGAATCTAGAAGAATAATTAGACTATATGTCTCCCAATACTATTTCTTTAGACAAGGAAAACATGATACAATGGTTGCTATTCTGAACTGATCTAGAAGATTTGTATTTCATTCTACAGGTTGTTGCTAAATTTCTGTGTGACTTTAGGCAAGACATCCCACCTGTTTCAATTTCCTACAAAAAAGTTTTCCATGTGTTAAATACACTCACAGCATACACATACACACACACATATGAAATGGCTTATTTCATATGTCTTTATCAGATACTCCGTAATGATACACAGGTTAATTTGATTATTATTTATTGCATTATATCACTAAGAGTTAATAATATTTATCATTTACTGAAAGCCTTCTCTTGGTTTTATCTCATTGTAAAAATGTCTACATGATTATATGTGTCTATCAAGGTATTACCTTTAAAATTTGTACATTAAGTAAACATACTTTCAATTATAGAATACCTGAATTTTTGCTATTATATTTTACAAGTAGCTTTAATATATGTTTTCATCTAAATTTCATGTACCATTTAAAGTATTTTAATAATTTTATGATATCTACAATGTTCTACAAAATTAATTTATACATTGATAATTACAACTGTAAGCAAATATGAATTTAGAATATTACCTTGTTTTAAGGCTATTTTGTTTGTCCATTATTACAGTTATAAAATCAGAAGTCTTTGTATGTAACATATATGTAATGTATATATTATGTAAATATAGTGTGTATAGTGCAAAATACTTATAATAAAACAAAGTTAAAATGTAAATGCATAATTATGTTTCTGACAATCGAGATTAAAGGGTGATCATGTTCTAATAACTAAAACAATCTATGAAAAATGGAGAAATAACTCCTAATGGAGAGTCTTATATTCTAAACCAGCTGCTGTGTGATTCACACATTACTTACTTAAACCTCACAGTGATCTTACATTATAGTTATTATTTCACCAATATAATAGCTGTACATTACATACTTGTCCATGATTAGGTCTGTGGCCAAGTACATGCCTGGTCTTTCTACCCTGGTATAGGCATCTAACTTGAATGAGTGGATTTAGGGCCTGTATAAATTTAAATGTATTTCAATTCAGTAAACATTTAGCATTTACCTACAGCAACATTAATGGAGACATGGATTTGCGATACAATGAATTTTTTGAATGGAAAGCTTATTTGGTCCATTATTATCCCTAAATGGGGATTATTAGACAGCAACACAATTTACTTGTGTTTGTCTAGCTAAGATCTCTCAATTTTTTGACTTCAAATATATTACATGGATATGTTTGCAATTATACTTGAACGTATTACAAAGTTCTGAGTAATTTTGAGGATCATTAAACCATAATTGTGCATATTAGTTGACAGTAAAAGAGACAATGCATAATCAGTTCAAATTCTCAAAATTGTCTTTTAAAAATACTAGATTTTAGTCCTATGATTAATATAAGAATATTTGATATTAAAAGATAAATTAAGAAAAGAAGAATTTTTCTGCCATCTATTGTTAAGATTAAAAGCTTTGATCTTTAGCATTGCTGTATGCATTTACTTTTTTACATTATTTTATTAATTTTTTATATTTAAATATTTTAAAGAAATAACTGATTTCAGTAAATTAATTTTAAGTGTAATAAGCAAACTTAGAAAAGAAACTTATTTCATTTACTCTATATAATTGAGAATGTTTTTGAAGCAAAGCATTTATTGGTACATTTTAGATCTATATAAGATACTCATCATAGGAAATTTGTACCTGTACATGTGTCTTGCTTCTTTTTTTCCCCATTTCCCACATAACCCTCTTTTCCCTTTTATATATACAGAAACTTTATTTCCATTTTTCCTCCTTTTGCTTTCTCCTGATTTCTTTTCCCTCTTCCACCTCTCTTGTTACCCTTCTCATTGAATATTTTCTTCCCATTTCCCAATATCTATTATACACATTAGTCCTTGTCTTTACTTTCTTTCCTCACACCAGAGAAGCAATGTGGTATTTAAACATGTGTGTTGGCCAGGGATGCAGCTCAGTTGTGCCACTCCTGCTTGGCAAGCCCAAGGTCCTGAGTTCAATCTCTGGTACCAATAAACAAACAAACAAACAAACAAACAAACATTTGTGTCTGATTTACTTCACTTAAAAGTATGATCGGAAGGTACATCCATTTAGCCAGAAATGTTCCCAGCTCACCCTTCTTTATGGCAGACTAGTATTCCATCGTATAAAACCCCCACATGGGCCAGGGATTTAGCTCAGGTGGTTTTGTTGCCTGCCTTGCAATCACAATGTCCTGAGTTCGATCCCAGGAACCAAAAATAAAAAATAAAAATAATACCCCCTCCCACATATTCTTTATCCATTAGTCAGTTGATGAACATTTGGACTGTTTCCAAGATTTAACTGTGCCATTACAAATATTACAAACTGTGCCATTATAAATGCAGGTGTTCATATTTTGTTGTCCTATGAAGATTTTTATTATTTTGGGAAGATATGTAACCAGAGGGGAATATCTGAGTCATATGGACCCTGCACTTATAATTTTTTGAGGAATTTCCACACTGATTTCCACAGTTGTTGCACCAGTCTACATTTGCACTAATAGTGGTGAAAGGTTCCTTT